AGTGTCCTGTGAGAGTCATGACTGTCCTGTAACATCAGCTGAACATGGGTTACCCACTACATTCTTGTCATTCATATCACATGACTAACAGGATGTATATTTGCTAAAGTGTACGAGGCAACGAGTACGAGTTTTCGCTTCATTTAGTTCCTATATTTAAAAACAGGGAAGTCATTGTAAGACCATTCTGCACGTTTGACTTCATACTGTGAACAGATTAGATGAAATAAGGAAAGGGTAATAATAGCATGCTACTAACAAAACTGAAACACATTTTAATTTCACTCAGTTTTATTTATAGATGACATTGTAACAAAGCAACGTAACAAAAATCCCGATACAGACATTAGATATGGGATAGCAAAATATAACACTAAAATCCTCAACTCTTGCAGTGCCACATTGTCTGCTGCCGGGTTTAGTGGTCTCTTTAAGTGTTTTGTTTTTCTTGCATGTGGAAGATCATGGCCTCATTGTATATCCTAACAGCTCAGACACAGGGGACATTTCACACATTCCAGCTGAAACCACCAGAAATGAGAAACTCAGAAAAGCCAGAGACTTCATCCGCGGAAATGACATGGTTTCTCGAGCTCCAGGAAGAGGTGACAATAAAAAAGCAGGAAGGACAGATAAATATAGGTGTGGACACATCAATATAAGTGTAAATATAGGTCCTGTACATGCTGTGCTTACACACAAACACAGGAGCATCAGAAACACTCACAAAAACTTCAGAGACCGCAAAACAGCACGAAGAAAATTAACGAATAAATAAATAAATAAATAATGCACATTTAGTATGTATGGTGTAAACTGCTCAGAATTAAAGCCGATTTGAATTCAGTGAGGTAAAGAAATAAAGTACGAGCTCATTTTTATGTTTCTCGCACCCTTTATGACTAATGACTTAGGCATTTTGTTTGTTTGAAAAATAAAAGAAGTCCAGAAATGTTCCCGAGACGTTTAAAATTACACGAAAACAAATCAAAAGCAGAAGTTATGCTCAATTTTCAAAAAAACAGTGTCAAGCCACACAACACTGCTTAAACAGCGGAAATATTTCAGCATTCACGTAATCTGCTGACTTATTTCATTTTAGATTGTGTGTGTGTGTGTGTGTTTAATAAATCAAAGGCTAGAAATGGAACAGAGCAGAGCATGAACAGCGTGATTATATCTTAAATGTCCAGGATGTGATGACCTTACATCCAGAAAATTTCACAGATACACAGTGTCTCTTTTTAAAGTCATTGTTTCATAAAATAATCTCTTCACCCAGAGGAAATTATGTCATACAGCCAGAGAAAGAAGGAACCCAGGTTCTGCAGTTCCTTTTTTTTTCACCCCTGACTTATTCTACATGTCGAATTCTCAGTTCGTTTTGGTCAGAAGTTGTTGAAGGCTGCAAGGCAAATCACGGGATTATATGAAAGCACATATCATTTCTATATCAATTTTCGAAAAAAAAAATTTTTGTCCACACTGAAATGTCTGAGAATGCTTATATCCCTATACTGTGCATGCGTAAAAATGTGCTTTGGCCTGCACTTTTTCCATCAGACGTTTCTTTAAATGTGAATCTGAAGGTTGTATAAAGTGACTTGAACCTTTAACAATGCTATCAAACTGCATAGCCGGCACAACAGCTACAATACATCGTCCACTATATTGTTTGTTTTGAGTTGAACGGGTCACCTGACTGCATCACATGAATAAAAATATGTCATTGCATTTGAATATCATTGCTTTTGTTTTCTCAGTCCACACTACAAGCTGTAAATGGCTTTTTTTTTTCAAATTGATCCACTTGGGAGAGCATTTTCAAAAAGCTTCTTTTTCACTCAGTGTGGACGGAAGGCCAAGACATCAAATTTTCTCCAGGTTAATGCAGCTTTAATCCAAGGATGTTATTTAACCAAGAAAAATTTATAATTGTTGATATGGTTTTCTTTTCAGGAGACATTTATTGAACATTTCTGGAAGGAGTCTCCAGTGTCGGCACAGTCAGGTGAAAGTCTTCATGACAGAGAACAGCACTAACTCTGCATTGGCTGAAGATGAAGGTCAATGTTAGGGTTGGGGGTTGGGGTATTTTTATTTGAATGAAATTATACAAGCATAATATCTTCAGTCATTTGAATTTCTAGTCATTTCTCTTGTATTTATTTCCCGAGCAGTGTCTCAACTGGTCAGATGATTTAAAAAGAAGAAGGAAGAAGAAGAAGAAGAAGAAGAAGAAGAAGAAGAGGAAGAAGTATTGATATAATAAGGTTGAATATAATTAAAAACTTTAATCGAAGAGTATACAGGCTCTGTGTTACGGATGAAAATGTGTAAATGTCTAAAGAGGAAACATTTACAACCTTACTGTCATGAGTTTATCTTTGACAACAAGACATTTTGATCATTTCTTTGATAAATAAATGCCTTTAAATTCCATACATTTCCAGAATCATGAATATGTTTTTATATGTATGGGTGTAAGCTTAGTGGTTAGCATGTTCGCCTCACACCTCTAGGGTACGGGGTTCAATTCCCGCCAGTGCCATGTGTGTGCGGAGTTTGCACGTTCTCCCCGTGCTGTGGGGGTTTCCTGCAGGTACTCCGGTTTCCTCCCCAATCCAAAGACATGCATGGTGTGCTGATTGGTGTGTCTAAAGTGTCCGTAGTGTATGAATGGGTGTGTGAGTGTTTATGTGATTGTGCCCTGTGATGGACTGGCACCCTGTCCAGGGTGTACCCCGCCTTGTGCCCGATGCTCCCTGGGATAGGCTCCAGGTTCCCCCATGACCCTGAAGAAGGAGTAAGCCGTAGAAGGTGGATGGATGGATGGGTCCATTTTGGACATTTTCACTTTTGGATGTATTGGAGTTAAAAGGACCATTGTTCCAGTTGAGGAAACCATTAAAGGTTCCAAGTTTTCTCTAGGGTTCTTTGGGCAGTTAATGGCTGTAGATTGGAACCTTTCCTAATCGATTTTTTTCATGATTGATTAGACTTTTTCACCCATGAATTTTCATTAGCACATAAGAAAAACAAAAACAAAAAATTCCATGACTAATTATTTGCTGTTTACAGTATATTGCATTCCACTATAACAAAATATTTGCGGGGGATGTTTAGACGGATTAATTTTTACTCCCTGACAGGAAACAAATGCTGGCAGTATTTTTTTAATTATTATTTTTAACTGCCCAGAATATGACCATCTTGTGCCCAATTCCAAAATATGTGTTAGATGTAAAATATGTGATAGTGAAGCCTTCATAGTCCTATAGTTCCTTGGTGATTAAGAGATTACTTTAAAAACACAAATGGGTCATTTTGACCTTAGAGGAGCATCCTGATGTTCTGCTGAGTGCTTTCTATGCATCTGCCTGAGTTGTACATTCTTCATTTAATCTGCTGAGGGCCGGTGAGTGGGCCGTGCTGGAACAGAGGAGTCACTGCGAGAGAATGTGATGAACTCAGGGCTCTGAAATCCTCGCCGCGAGGGAGACCTCGGCATATCTGCTCCACACTTCTGAAACAGGAGGAGGGTCATGGAAGAGGTTTAAATCCCCCTATCACTCACACATGACATAACCACGGGCAGTGAGAGAGAGACCTTCCCTCCTCCATCCCATATCTCCTGTGTTTATTTGTGCAACATATGAGGAGAGCGTGATGAGCGAAGATAAGGAGAAAGAAAAAGAACAGACAGGGAGACTATGAGGGGGGAAAATGACCTGTGTGAAACAGGGGGCTGGAAAGGGGAAAGATCAGACACAAAACAAAAGAGAGACAGAGAGAGAGAGAGACAGAGAGACAGAGAGAAAGAGAGAGAGGCAGACAGAGAGATAGGCAGACACAAAGAAAGAGAGACAGAGAGAGAGAGAGAGGCAGACACAAAGAGAGAGAGAGACAGAGAGAGAAAGAGAGAGAGAGGCAGACACAGAGAGAGAGAGAGAGAGAGAGAGAGAGAGAGGTTGGGTGTTAGGAAGTCAGCAAAGCACACATTCCATTAGGCAGTAAATATTGACTCATCAGCGGACAACTAGTTTCTATTGCATGGCAAACAAAGGCATTGTTCAGATAGAGGGTCAGGGTGTGTGTGTGTGGGGGGGCACATTTTATACTGGTCAGAGATAACTGGGCAGTCTGTGCCACGCTGTCTGCTGCTCTCTCGTCATCACCAGGCACTCAGACATAAAGATTTCACTGAGTCAGACTGAGACTGGAGGTCATTCACCAGCCTGACGAGTCCTGCATTCTATTGTGTTTTATATTCGAGAATCAGGAACTGATGAGCCAAGCATGGTTAAAGTCACAGAAGTTCATTCCGAACACAGAAAAAGTGTGAATGATAGAGTCTTCTTCTGTTCTTTTCCACCCACGCTAAAAAGCGTATCGGGCGACGAGAGAGAAATCCCTACCGTTGTTTCCATAGCGGTTAGGGTTTTTACGGGGACAGGTTGCTAACCCGACGCCCAACCCTCCCTTTTGCATCTGGGCTTGGGACCGGCAATGGCGGACACTCACACACCCATTCATACACTACGGACACTTTAGACACGCCAATAAGCCTACCATGCATGTCTTTGGACTGGGGAGGAAACCGGAGTACCCGGAGGAAACCCGCATGGCATGGGGAGAACATGCAAACTCCGTGCACACACAGAGCCACAGTGGGAATCAAACCCCGGACCCTGGAGGTGTGAGGCGAACGTGCCAACCACTAAGCCACCGTGTGCCGTTATAGAGTAGGATTCTTTATTTATTGTCTATCATTATAGTTCTATCATCATTTATTTATCTATCATTTATTCATTTATCATTCAGTCAGCGTCAGTAAGCACTTTATCCTGGTCAGGTCAGGGTCATGGCGGATCCAGACTCTATCCCAGAAACACAAGGTGCGACTCAGGAATACACCCTGAATGGATCCAAGTCCGTCACAAAGAACACCCACACACACCTCAGTGTGCTAACAATTTAGCATAGACAATCCACCTACGTTTTATGAGGTCTCAGTGGTAGAGACGTTGGACTTCTGATCGGACGGCCGTGGGTTCAAATCCCAGCACTAACA